TGAAAAATTGTTATGAAATATAAAATTTATGAAAATTTTCTGGCCATTTCATATATGCAACAAATTGATATTGTTTTCTGATAGTAGAACATACCATATAGAATGGGTGTGTGATTTTTAATATATTTTATAGCAAGCAACACACATTTTAATAATAATATAGAATTCTTTAAATTAAATTGAAATTTTGAACAAACATAAATAAACTATGAATAATATTTTTAAAATTGAATGTAAAATTCGTTCAATATTTCCTTAAAAATATAATGAATATGTGGCAGAATACTGAAAATATACTACTCGTATGAGACCAGTGGATTATAAACTCTGATTAAGTCTCTTTAAGAGACTAACACAGCACTAATGTTAAAAATCAATATAAATTATAACTAAAAACCGGTGGAGAGTTGTGTGTAAAATACTTAGGCCCGTAGCCATACCTTAAGCACTTTCCCCCCTTGAAATGAATCGAAGAACTATATATTTACACATATACATTTTCATTCTTAATGCATTATAACTGTTTAATAAGATAACGATAATTTATAATATTTCGGAAATTTCTCTCCGGTCGTTAATTTCTCTTTCTTTCGAGCGTAAGTTTATTCACTCTTAGTGAAGTAGGCAGTAGTATTTGTCTTTAGCACCAGATCGAAAGGATACTAGCTGTATAATCTTACCGCGTTTAGTGGTGTGTACTGCTTTATAATCAAAATTTCCTAAAATTGACGTGTTAAATACGTGCTATACTTGTATTATTAGGCGTTCTTATTTTTTTTGTCAAAGTTACAGTGTTGCCAGAAGGATCTACTTAATACGCCCTACTCTGTATTCTGGTTAAAAGTGTACATTATCAATAGTAATCCTTCGCTCGATGGGGATAAAAAGTGTTCAATACGTTGTTGACCCTTACTATTCGTGCCTAGTATAGTAGCCAGTACTGAGTCAAGTAGCAATGACTGTAAGGCAGGTTTTTTATGTTTTAAGTTATTATTTATAATATAAAAGTAGTTAGATACGTAAAACAAGCTGGCTTAGACCACGCAAAAACTTAATAGATCCGTAACGATGTCAGATTACCTAGAATCCTTAAAAGTGGGCAATAAAAATACTCTTTATTTAATATATGTCTTCTTTGTTTAGTGAAATGCGTGTTACTGTCTTAAGTACTTTTACTTAATAGCATCTGTGATCACTTGAATAATCCATTATAATAAGCGTTCCGTCGAATTTTAAATAATTTATTCAGATGTTTATATAGAAACATACATTGACGCCAAGCATATCTTCCTGACGGAATATATATAGTTTTAGTCAATATCTAAGTTTGTATCACAAGACCTCTTCTATTCTTGTTTGCTTTTCGCGTTTCTTTTCCAGTTGCTGATATTCAATGCTTTAAGTTCTTCCCGCACAGTGTCACTGTATCTTTTTCTAAATATTCTTCGATTTCTAGAAGTTCTAAATTCGACTTTTTGAATATTCATAGACATTCCCCTATCTTTCTACCTACAAAAAATCTACCTACAAAAAAGTGCTTTGTTTAATAGTAGTGTTGTCTTTTTTATGTTTTATAATAATACGTTTTGTATTATTATAATAATAATTATTATTATGATATTAAATATTATTATGATAATAAATATTATTATGATAATAAATATTATTATGATAATAAATATTATTATGATAATAACTATTATTATGATAATAAATATTATTATGATAATAAATATTATTATGATAATAAATATTATTATGATAATAATTATTATTATGATAATAAATATTTTTGTGATAATAAAATAATAAGTATAATAATAAGTAATAATAAGTATTATTATGGTAATAACTATTATTGTGATAATAAATATTATTACGATAATAAATATTATTATGATAATAAATATTTTTATGATAATAATTATTTTTATGATAATAAAAATTATTATAATATATAATAAATATAAAAATAAAAAAAGAAACCACTTTATAGAAATGTGTCTATGAAATTAATAATTTTCCATGACGAGAAATCCATTTTGAATAGAAAAAGTCCAATAGTTTACTTTATTTAAAAATAAAATGATTTGTTGGATTTAAATCAAATATGACAAAAGAAGATATAGATTAGATTAGATTATGCTGGCAGGCCATAAAGGCCACGCGTAGACCACTAGGGTCCATTGCGA